GAGGGTAACGTTTCTTATGGCGTTTAGTGTATATGTGGTTATTATGTGTGTGTGTGTGTGTGTGTGTGTGTGTGAGTGAGTCAGTGGTGTGTGTGTGTGTGTGGGCTCTCTGTTAACCTTAATATACAGGTGGTTATTGGTTATTATAAGCGTCATTCAACTGGTGATTAATCAGAACTATGGTTGATGTTAAATGTCGGCGTTCCGAGCGCGGGTTATGTTAGTAGTTTCTCAGATTGACGCAGGTGCGGTGTGGTGCCCGGAAGTTGCTACCAGTTGAAAGACGACAGGTGATGTAACTACTACTATCTAGGTAATGTTCTAACTGTGTTGAGCTCGAGGAACTGCCGGTTACCGAGAGGCTATGCATAGTCAGGATGTTGTCCACATGTCCCCGTAGGCCATGCTGCATGTCCTATTGATGGCGTTACATACCTGGGGGCGTGGCAGTCGTCGTGGGTGAAGGTTGTAGACCACACGTCAGCTGGACTTCCTCGTCTTTACTTGCTAAGGAGAATACAGGAGAAGAAGGTTAATGAATCCAAACATTATTAGTATTGAGTCAACATTTACTGAACATAAACCCACAATTTGCATAGAGAAATCTTTTGACTTCTATTGGTTTGGTACTAATATGATGTCCTGGGGTCCTTTCACGAAGCAACCTTTTAAGGTTAATAACTCCCATTCTTTAACACTGCATTAAGGTTACCAAGAAAAGTTCTATACTGAACAAGAAAAGTTAGGGACCATAAATATTTGGATGATGTTTTGGTGTGAAGACGAGCGTTGAATTTTGTAATATCCACTAGAATATCCATGATCCCTAACTTTCATCGTTCAGTATATATGCTAAGACCATATATATAATATTGAATCGACAGGTTTACAGACACTTTTACTCCTTCCATTACTGGTCATCTTATGTTGTGCAGTGCCCCAATTAGCAGCAGTTAAGCTGTAGATAATAGAGTCCGATAGTATGAGTGAGTGAGTTTGGTTTTACGCCGCAATCAGAATTGATCTTCAGTAACCCACGCTTGTCGTAAGAGGCGACTAACGGGATCGGGTGGTCAGGCTCGCGGACTTGGCTGACACATGTCATCGCATCCCAATTGCGTAGATCGATGCTCATGCTGTTGATCACTGGATTGTCTGGCCCAGACTCGATTATTTACAGACCTCCGCCATATAGCTGGTATATTGCTGAGTGCGGCGTAAAACTAAACCCAATCAATCAAAACATCAGTGTAAGTACCTTCAAATCCTATCCATACAAACTCGGGTGGACTCTTATTGATGACCAAGCGGGAGATGGCGCCGTTAGTAGAGTTGAGGATGGAGACAAAGGGATAAGGAAAATAGGGGTCGTGGCTTGCGAGACACGTGATCTCATGTATTTTGGGTTGAGCTTCCATGAGTAATTCTGAATCCGAACACCAGGTGGAGCCAGGCTTGTTGAGTCTCATGTCAACTACAAATGCTGATACTCTCCCCTTCCCTGACCAGGAAGTGGGTGTCGCTGCGCAGGCGCAGACTGACCCTGGTGGTGGAGGTACTTCCCGTCTGGCGTCGAACATGGCGAACAGAGTTCTCCCCCTCATTGATACACTGAGGGGACTACAAATGTTGGCAGTAAAAGTGTCTGAAACAATACAAATGTATACTAGTTTATACACTAGCTTAACCAAACACTTTGTCATGTCAGATAATGAAACGTATTTAAGAACTAATCATAAGAAGTGAGATTGGGAACTTTGGCAGATTATATTTTCTTTTAAGTAGTTCAAACAAAACAACAGGCTTGCTATTCTCGAAACTTTCGTAGCCCTACGAACTTCTTAAGCCCATTCTTAACACACTGGCTACGATCAAAGTTAAGAATTCTTAGGGCTACGAACGTTTCGAGAATAAGGGCCCTGATGATTAATGTATATTCTATGTATGTGCGTGTGCGTGTGTAAAGCACACACACATCAATTATTGAATACACTCCTGATTTGCACACAGAGAGATAATGAATACTTCACCTCAGTTGCTACACAGAACAGCTAATGCATAATGCCTTCACCGGTATCGAACAGGACTTTGGTTCCATTTAAATCGTTCTTGAGAGGGAGTTATTTTTGCTCGGAAATTTATCAACAGAACGTCCATGAAAATAAAGACAAGTCGCTTTCTACAGTGTACTACGTAAAACAAGCTTCAGACATCGTTTCCATGTGGGGAATCGAACCGAGTCCTCAACGTAATGGACGAACGTTTTAATCACTAAGCTACACCATCGCCCATTACTAAAGAGTGAGTGAGCGAGTTGGCTTTTAGCAATATTCCAGCAATATCACGGCGGGGACACCAGAAATAGACTTCACACATTGTACCCATGTGGGGAATCGAACCCGGGCCATCGTCGAGACGAGCGAACGCTTTAAGCACTGGGCTACCCCACCGCCCTATTACTAAAGAAGGAGTGAGCTAGTCACCCACCTCGCCACTATACTAAAGAAGGAAGCAAAGGTGCACGTACCATTAACACAGACATAGTCAATGAGAGAGTAGCTGGATACATTTCTGTGTTCAACCGGTGAACAGGCTGGTGAAGCCTCGGGCTTCTGGTCTGTTTTGATGGTACACTGTAGATTTCCCGAACAGTCTCGGTGGAACGTCTCCAGGTGGTCCAGTGGGTACGGAAACAAACAGTCTCTGCCAGCGGCCATGTCACAACACACGTCCTTCCACGCATCTTCACACGAGAACGAATACGGGCAGGCGGAACTGACGGAGTGAACTCCATACAGCGCTTCTCTAATGGCGATCTTGTGGGCCGGTGGGCATTGCATCAAGAGGTTGGAACACTCGCCATTGCACACGCTTGCCGTCTTCTCTAATATGGCAGCTTCAATATCTGTCGAAAAAGAAGAATCGTAGTTTATCGTCCAACTTCTTCAATGTGTCTTTAAATTATATGTAGATTTTCGAACACATTAATGGTCACGCTACCAAAACGCAACCGATCATCAGCTTTCTGTTCATAATGAGGTAATAAAGAGCTCCACTCTCTTTTCACTCCAGTTTAGTCTTGCCTTTCAACCAATCGCACAAACTGTAACTGTTATTATCAACAACGTTCGTCTTGATATTACCTGGTTGCGTTAGTACTGCTGATCCCACCGCAATATTGCTGGAATATTGCTAAAAGCGGCGTAAAACCATACTCACTAGTAATACCGATAAGCAATGATAAAACATAGCACGCACACACACACACACATTACATGCACACTACATCGTCTAAACAACAAATTGTAAAATGTGAATAATAATTAAAACTCTTCTGAAAGTCCTAAGCCTAATTCATTTGGAACATAAAATATACGTCCAGTAGCGATAAACATAATAAACACACACATTTGTGACCCAACCTTATTTCTAATTATTTTGCCAGACACACCTAAATTATTCGATTTGACTTTCAAAAGCGATGTTCATGACAAGGAAATACATACCCAGAAACAAAGAAATCCAAGAGATGAATAGTACATGAAAAATATTCATATTAATTCCACCGTTATTCCACTGGTCATTCCATTATTTGCTTTAAGTGAGTAGGTAAATCCGTGAATAACCTCATGTCTGTATGTACATCCTTCAAGTACTGTATTCTTACACGGCTGCTCTCTCAATGAACCGCGAGTGATGACCAAGGTTGCTCGGTGATAAGTGATTAATTAGCCGTCAATCAATCAATCACCTGTCATAATAAAGGAAGTCATGTTACTGGGGGCAGGAAATGATGCTCCATGGGTGAAGTGGGTGTGTATGTGAACATACAAGGGGTGGTATTTTTTAAGATTATTTTGAGTAAAAATAATAATCGTTGTTTTGTAAATATTGATTGAAATAGAACGTTTAAAATATCGTTTAAATGGTTCTTGACATGATTTAATTGAGGTTATTATTTGCTTGGTTACGGGATTTGTATTCGTGTACAATGTACAATTGTACAGTATCAGAGGCACATTATTGGGTAATGCAGCAATTTATAAATTAAAGTAGATTGCCACAAAGCTCCGCTGGAACCCATCATTATAACATACATAAAGCATTTTCTTTCAGTTACACCTGGCGAGATGAACAAAATTAAGATCTTCCCTATTTTATAGTATATGACTCCATGATCTATTAAATAATAGCATCGTTTACAATAAACAAAATTAAAGAAACACGTCTAGAAAGTGGATGTATTAACTCGGTGTTGGTGTGTCTCTCTTTCATTAAATGACGTCGACATAAAAATATATATTGCTCGGAGGGAATTTTACACTTCACCTACCCTTATCAAGTGACATTTTGCCCCGGAGGGGCTCGCTTCAGGGGAGACAATCAAGGGCTTTTTAGCGGGTCACAGATAGTGGCTATCAGGAAAATTAAATCACTCTATGGCTAATTGCTTATGCCTGAATTTGAAAGTTTAAGAGTATCAAATGAATTAATGAAGTGGTATGAGTGTATTGCAATTATGTCATCTTCGTTATTCTACTAGACCAGATCTGCGGTTAAACATAGGTAACACAATATTCTCCAGGTTGTTTTCTTATTTGAAATTGTCAAGGGCGATCTGTATACACCAAAAGGATAATAGTATTTGTCTTGCTGTTGCTATAAAACAGTAACATAGTTACATATATTTCTCTATAACAATCTGCCAAGAGTGCGCTGCCTTGGAGGCCCTGTTTGGAGTTTTATTTGAACGATGCGTGGATATTGAGTTGTGATCCGGAGTTACAGTTACCAAACATAACCAATAAAATGTATTTTCAGTTGAAGAACATTGTCGTATTTGAGTTGAATGCTGCAACATTTTCGTATTCTTAGTCGTAAGCATATATTTTGGTTTAAGTGTAACGTATTTTAATGTCAGCAGAACAGACATTGCATCGAAAAGTCCGTCAGACTTTCTTGTCCGTATTTTAGTATAACCCGGAAGTAACACTGTTCGCTACCGTTTGCAAAACATCAAAATGGCTGCGGCAGGGTTGCCAGCTATTCCCCCCGAATCTAAAAGCGATTCAACATTATATGAAGACAGCTACAGAACATGACAAAAGAGATCCCATTGTCGCCTACTATTGTGAGTATATTAAGTCGTCGACATCGAACTAAATTCCGTTCATAAGGCAATAAACTCGTTTGACAGGTTGTCAGAAGCTGATAGTTTTAGGTATGATTCATGATCACGACGATCTTAACAAGTCTCAATGTTCTATTTGTTAAGGGTGGGGTTGTTAAGGAGTGATAAGGACCGATATGTTCGCTCTACTCACTAAAGCGGATTGCTTCTACTGAGTTTCAAGTTCGATTTTGGTTTTTGTTCACTGTTTTGAACTTAAATTATACAGTAGATATCATATTTATCTTGTTGATCATGTTGATGAAGCAAGAATAAACGTGAAAAAATATTTGAACGTGTGGAAAGGTTATGGATGTTGGATGTGTTGTGAGTGTCAAGGAATTGTGTGTTTTAATCATGATGATGATAATAACTGGATACTAGTCTTAGTGGTCTTTCCACCATATACATAGTCTTTTCTACATTGTTCATCATGGTCATGATGTCAATCACTGGATTGTCTTGCCCTGCCTGGGGTTATTACCTTACATCAGTCAGGTAAAATATTATACAAACACTAACATGTTCAGCAATATAGATTTCATCCTTTATCATGTTTATATGATTGGTGGGATGTATTGAGTGTTTTGGATACAGCACTATTATCGTCATGATCATGGATATTGTTGGTCAGGTTAAAGCATGTCTTTTTATCCCAACTGCGTAGATAAATGCTTATGTTGTCAATCACAAGCCTGTCTAGTCCAGACTTGAATTATTTACAGACATTTATATGGCAGGAATGTTGCTCAGTGCTTCATTAAACAACAAACAAACAAATGTCCATGCACTGTCACCTTGATTGTATCAGGTATTGTTGAAATCTTGACATGATAGGAACATATTTTGTGGGCAAGTGTTATCACACCTGAAAAATTAAAATGATTTTAGTTGGCTGTTACTGATACTGGTGAACCTGGGGAGTTCATATTTTAATTGGTTTAAACGATATTTATTGTTCAATAGAGCATGTGCATATAATATGTTAACAAAATGGAGTGGATTGGCAAACAAGCCTGTGGCTTATATCAATGCCTTTCCACATGGTTTTCAGAATATACAATGAGGGTACACTACATATTACAATATATTAAGACAAATATACACCCGACAAATATAAAACATAACTTCTAGAGCATGGAAGATCAATTTTAAATCTAAAAGATAGTAGATGTTAGATGTGCGGAATCAAGTGAAATATTACAAATTTCTTAGCGTGCACTTATTTTGGTGAAATAATAACTTAGGTGGCGGCAAAAAAAGCGTCTTCTTATTCAATTTTAAAGATCACATATACTCTAGGGGGTACAAATACATAAATCACTAATTGGCATCGTTATAAATGAAACCCTGTCATTAAAACTGCTCATTTCGATCTTCAATTAACTTAAATCGACCTTTTTTGACAACAGTGCACAATTCTCACCCCTTGAACAAAATCTCAACCAATTAGAGCTGCGCGTCTCTGTGACATCATATGAGGAATAGATATGAGGGCCGATGCAGAATTCATGTACATTTCAGGAGGTAAATTATCTTGTTTACAGGTTTGTATAAACCTGAAATCATGACAACTGTTGTGAAAAATGAAAGCTATATATTTTCACAATCTACTGTCATTAAATTTTGTCTCCTGCTTTGCCTAGTTTCCGAGTTGCAACTTGTTTTCATAGACGATTCTGTCCAAATCGCTTGGTGTCAGCTAGGGCCTTATTTGTTCGAGCCAGACGCTAGTGATAGCTAGTTTCAACCTAAACAGTCGCGACATTAAGAAGGGTGGATGCCCATCAGATGCAGTTATTTGAAAATATCCCGGTAGTTCTTATCAAAGCAGTGTGGGCTTTTTTCAGGTTTTCTAATGCCTGTAGGGTATAATGACTGATCCAAATTGATCCCATTTCTGTGTTTTTTACCTCGATATTTAATCATGTCATGTCAAAATATGACGTCTATTACGTATGGTATTAAAAATTTACATTTGATTTATTTGAATCAAGTAAACTAAACAACCCTACTTTGCCATTGCTAGAAGAATCTGAAAAATTTACTTAGGTAAATACGCACATACAGTTTTAGCACACAGCAAATGCTTATATGTATTTCTTATGCAACAATGAAGTTCTGTTTGTATTCTCAAAACAGTGTCGCCCATAAGTTTTCACATGCGATACAGCAATTAATACTCCCTTGTTGTAACCCGTGTTAGGTGGTCTAGTCACAAGTTATTTGTCATCATTCACTTAATGGTCAGTTAATGAATTTATAACTGGTAAAATTAGTGGTAACACCACTTAGATTACCGACAAAGGTTCCAATTTGGCATTTCTTGTGTCTGGAGTAAATACTCAACATTATAAACATCGATCAAAGGATTAACCGATAACACGCTGATTGATTAATTACTTTTATCTTACACAGCTGGATTTGTCAAAAGGTAATGTTTATGCATGTAGATTTACTAATCTATACTGAAAACAAAGTTTATTTGTTCTTTTAAGATTAATCATCGCAACAGGAAAAAAATACAACTATTTTAATTACGCATTTAGCATTTACACATACATGTAGGTAAGTGCATGTGTACTGTTACTTGATTTTGGCAGTCAAGCCATGTTTTTTTATATCATGGGTTTGTATAATACAGATTCCACAGCTCCAGGGCTCTCATTTCGGTAAACTGACACTTACCCCTCAGTCTGGATCCATTTCTGTTTTTATTGTGATTGCAAATTACCTGCCGTTGGTATTCATTATGAATTTCCCCACCAACCAAACATTAACATAAGGAAATGGAAAAGGGAAGGGGAGGTAATTCATATATTGCAAACATATTGCTCCTGGAATACCTCTCCTGGCCCATATAGTGAATGCTTGGTGGTGAAGGGACTTCCCACTGTCATGCTGCAAGTGGGGAGGTGGATGACTTAACTTCTTCTGTTGACGACTATAGCTTTACTGCCAAGACATGTGGTTACAGGCTGACACCACCGTGTGGTATCAGGGGAGGCAACTCTAGGTTGCTTACCTTAGCTCGTAATATGACACCCACTACCAATCTGAATGGACTTTGAGACATCTTTGTCCGTCCAAGGCTTTTTTAGGGCTTGAGTTTCAGTTTTGAATTTCTGGCAAAATCTGTTCTATTCAATGAATTCGGCCTCCATGTTGTTGACATCACCAACTCAACCTTGATTGTGGTTTTTAACATATATTCCGATTTAGAGTATTCTGCCTTTAGACAGAGTATTAAGCAAACAGAATTGGAAATGAAAATCACGGGTGGGTAATTTCGGGTACTTGGGAATCATTGTTTGCCTTCTACTAATCAGCAGTTGTTAAATGATTTGTCAAATGTCAGTAGCAATTACCAGTAGGGCTGACTATCGATACAGATCTTAGAGATCAATAATCGTTAACTAAATATCAATCAATTGTCAATAAATATCGAAGACATAACTTTGTGCAAAAATGCAAAAAAATATGGGAAAGAAATGAATATATTTCACATCACTGATGAGTGGTGATATGTTTTGCATAGAATATTACCGAAACTGAAACTGATTTAAAAAAGCACACCATGAATAAAGTACTATATTGGTAAATTGTGAGAAAAATTTAAACTTTTTTTTTTCTATCACAAAAGTTAAAACGATATTATTGCTAACACAATTTTCATATGGATAATCATTAATAATTTTTCCCATTAGTGGATTATCAATTATTTTACTTTTAGCCACCCCTAACTACCAGACATAATGATTTTTAGCTGCTGTGACCAGGTAACATTTAGTACCAGTGCTAGCAGTTGAGAGTTTTGCTTGGACTGATGCTACTTGCTGCCACTTCTCTAGTTGGTCTAGGAATTGCATGATTGTGGAACTTGAACCCTTATGTCAATAAATCCGAGGAGACATTCATCAAAAACATGGACACAAACTGAAGCTTGTTTTCTTTGTTATAAAGAGGGATTTTCATAAAGTCTTGGAGAATAATAAACAACAAATATTTTAGTAAAGGGTAGTTAGTTTATACAAAATGTCACAAGATTCACCAAATAATTTGTGTTGTGATTAAGAAGGCTTATTTCAGTGATGGTATCACAGAAACTCTTCACTGCCACTTACCGTACTTCTTGTATTTCCACCACTGATGGTACAATCAGCATTTTACCTCAACCTGCACAACTAGGGATCCAGACGACACTTACCGGTATTTGCTGTTTTCACGGGTCCTTACTGAAACTTGTGATATACTTGGGATTACACTGTCTCAGTAACGTATTTCTAGTACTTTTGTTGGGTTGAGTCCCATCTGGGATTCGATTCCACACTTTTACTGAGAAAGTGTCGTCCCAAATAACATGCATTACATTTGACCACTTTCAAAATGGTGTTTTCCTTGCTGGAGTGAGTGAGTTTGGTTTTATGCCACTAAGTTTTAGCAATTCTCCAGCAACATCACAGTGAAGGGACACCAGAAGTGGGCTTCACACATGGTAACCATCAGATGAATCGAACCAATGCCTTTGGCATTGTCGAGGCAAACGCTTTAACCACTAGGCTACCACACACTGCATCAGCCCTTGCAGGATATATGAGGGCCCTATAAATTAATTCATATACTAATTACTTTGATTACTTGACCTTTGTTTTTCTTGTCAACGATTTGGTTCTGTGAACATCACTTTCAGATGGAATGTAAATATAATTTTGGTGTCCATTCTATATGTTTGCTACAGTAGACACATATGTTTCTGCGTCACGTGAAACCTGGTACAGTGCTTTTTGTGTTTGTCTATTTGATCAGTATTAAGATTTTGGTATGTATCTCCCAACAGGTCGGCTGTATGCCATGCAGAAAGGCATGGAGATTGACATGAAGTCACCAGATTGTCGGATATTCCTCGTCACAATGATGGACTATCTGGAAAAGGTGAGATATGGTTGTACAGTTTCATCATAGCCAACAAGTGTGATCATGTTGTACTGAGACTTGTGAAAGAGGGGCAACTCTCCTAGCAAATATTATTCTGGCCATATAGAAAACCTTAGTGAGTGAGTTTGGTTTTACGCCTCTTTAAGCAATTTTCCAGCAATATCATGGCGGGGGACACCAGAAATGGGCTTCACACATTGTACCCATGTGGGGAATCGAACCCGGGTCTTTGGCGTGACGAGCGAACTCTTTACCACTGGGCTACCCCACCGCCCCTTATAGAAACCTTAAGGAAGAAACTTACTTCATTGTAATAACACAACTACTTCTCATCATACTTACACTTTATGAAATATTATCATGATTATACAGTTTATCTCCAATACACTGAAAACTGGGTTTGGAACCATAAAACTGCTGAGTCTTCCAGAGATATTTCCCTATGGAATAAACTATGTGTCGTGCCTTTTTACTGGAAAATTGTTGCTATATACATACATGTTCATGAACTCTATTAGATTTTGTTATCAATATTTTCAGCATACTTGATATGACCATGATGATGCTGATGTTTCAGGAAGAGAGTTGGTCATTTTTCTGAATCCTGATTGTGAATTTGTTTAATACACTCCAAGAAATAGCTGTATGAGGCTGATGCTTTAAAGAGCAAGGTTGTCATGCCATCAGAATTCTGATTGTGAATTTTTTCATATAATACAGGCCAAGAAATAGCTGTATGAGGCTGATGCTTTAAAGAGCAAGGTTGTCATGCCATCAGAATCCTGATTGTGAATTTGTTTAATACACTCCAAGAAATAGCTGTATGAGGCTGATGCTTTAAAGAGCAAGGTTGTCATGCCATCAGAATTCTGATTGTGAATTTGTTTCATATATATTTGGCCAGGCCAAGAAGCAGCTGTATGAGGTTGACTATACGGAGCATTAAGGTGGTCATTCCTGATGAATCCTGGTTGTGAATTCTTTTAATACATATTTGACCCGGCCAAGAAGCAGCTGTATGAGGCTGATGCTTTTCAGAGCGAGGTGGTCATTCCTGCTGAATCCAGATTGTAAATTTGTTTAACCATGTTTACATATTGTGTACAGGCCAAGAAGGAGCTGTATGAAGCTGATGCTATTCAGAGTGAGGTGGTTGGTCAGGCCCATATGGAGAACTACGCTCTCAAAGTCTTCCTATTTGCTGACAATGAGGACAGAGCTGCTAGATTCAACAAGTAAGTTGACAAAGCCTACCCACGCTGTCATGGCACTGGAACCTGTCCTGTGTATTTCATGCTTGTTTCAAAGTGAGTGAGTGAGTATGGCTTTACGCCGCTTTTAACAATATTCCAGTAATATCAATGCAGATGACATAAGAAATGGGCTTCAGACATTGTACCCATGTGGGGAATAGAGATCTTCAGTGACTGAGTGAGTTAAAATTTAACGTCACATCGGCAATATTTCAGAGCAGATGAACATTTTACATCAAAATGGCCATGTCTTCAGTGTGAGCAGATGCTTTAACCATTAGGCTTCCCCACCACCAGCTTGTAAGATTTGCCATAGTTTTAGTTTTATGTTTTTCAGTGTTTATTTTCGAACATATTAGCATGGGTAGATTAAACTAAACATACTTTGGTGGTAAAATATTTGTTCATTAATATTTTCTTTACATGAATGTTGTCTATGTCATGTGGAACAATCGGTTCAGAAAACATAAATACTTAAACATGTAAAGTTGTTGAACTCAAGCATTCTATGTGGCATATAAACTGAGTATGTTTATTATTTTAACATAACAAATGTATGTGTTCACTTCTATCAAAGAGGCTGTTTTCTAATTGCATGTGAACCCGCCTTTGTGGTGTAGTGGTTAGAGCCGCCCGCCCGAGAGAGCGGAAGGTCGTGAGTTCGATCCCCGACCGCGTCATACCAAAAGACGTTAAAATATGGTACTTGTTGGTCCCTGCCTGGCGCTCGGCATTAATGGGTACAACAAGGACTGGTCGGCTCGGAGTCAGTATAATGTGTCTGAGTGGGGTATTCATGCTTCACTGCGGCATGGTATCTCAGTGAGCTAACACTATAAAACCAGATTAAGTCTGGGCTAGTACAAGCAGCCGCACATACACATACACACGCATGCACGTTGTCATATGAGCCGTAAATATTCTCAAGCGTGACGTTAAACCCAATTTCTCCTCACCTCACCTCACCTCATCAAACCCATTAGGCTGTGTTCTCTAATTGCATGTTTACAGTTGTGAGTGTTGCTATCAAAATCTAAACTACACTTTTAGGGAGAAGTTGTATTGCTTTTAGGTTATGTTGAATAGTACGACTAGTAGGGTAGTTAAATATAATTCAGACCTTGTTTCCATTCACCAACAAAAATCAATAACAGGTTTAAACATAGCTTTAAATGAGCACAAGATGGTAAACATAAAATGATGTGTATTATTAAGTGGTAAACCTTGTTGGAATCTGTTTGGAATATCAGAGAATTTGTCTAGAACTTTGTTAAAGAAGTGTATTGCAACGGTTACTTAATGTTTGGTGTGTCATGATTATATCAGACAGTTGGACCAGTCTTGGTTTTCTCCTTTTTGGAATTTTCAAGTGATTGTGGACCATGTTGAATGTTTGACGTCATTGTATGGTATGACATCAGTGTGATACACTTTATACAGTGTTCACGAATAGCGTCTGACCCTCTGACAAACCCGGCAGATTCGCCAACGGTCCGATAGAAGTCTACAACCCGCCGGCCCCAGTGTCTGACTGTATATTTCACAATGACTTTGACTGAAATTGTTATATGTGAGATGTGACACTTGTTTGCTGTTTATAAATCTTATGTTTGTTTATAATTTCAATGCCAATTATAAGAAATGTTAAATCTGAAATGTATGTTTAATTTTATTCTGTGGATTCTGTGAATTTTCAATGGGTCAGACAGACATCTGAACTTATAGGACCCAATGTCCTGTTACTTTGAAACACCATTCGTGAACACTGCTTTATACTGTAAAACTGTAGTGATACACATTATTAGGTATCATTAATCTGTATGAAATATTTATATTTGTTGAGATTTCATTGTTTTTAATCTCAAATACTCTGGTTATACAATGATCAGTGCGAAAGTATCCTATCAGCGACACCACAAGTTAACGTTTGGGTGTCATTATGTAAGCGCTGTGTTATTATTTATAACGTGCATTGATCAAATGAGTATAATAACAAATTTGGTGAGACCATATTGATTGATTTTTAGAAATGTCGTGAAGTCCTTCTACACTGCCGGAATGTTGTTTGATGTGCTCACGGTGTTTGGAGAACTCTCGGAAGATGTAAGTCGTCCAATGACCATGATATGTTACAATACATTTCATATCTACAATACGTTTCATATCTTGGAAGTGATTTCATCGGGTATGTTATCACATATTTGGTACACATTTAGTTCGAGGTCCCTCAGAATCGTTTTTCACACATATTTGACTAAAATATTTGTATATGATACAAATTCTTCAATCAAAGGGGGGTAATTGAAGAAAAGAGGAATATCATCTGAACATATTGCACCATATATACCAGCAATTCAGATTCACCATGGTGATTCTTTTTGTATGCATGGTATATTTGATTTCAACAAACTCTGTTACTTTCATCCTCCAAAGTTATCCATATGCTGTAATTATTATAGAAATATTCTTTCAAATCAGCTGAACTGTAACCATGGTAACAGTATTAACGTCAATGAACAATTCATTTTGGTCCTCGTTTAGGCATTAAAATCTATTTATTATCATGTAAAGCAGGATGATAACAGAACACTTACGAAATTGTTACCCTGCAAAAGTCACCTCCGTTACAAGGTCCAACCAGCTGTATCTTGTAAAGACACTAGTCAAGGGAGACAACTCTAACATGCTTGATGAAAGTCTCACTTCTACATTTTCTGTTTATATTTCTTCAAGATTGAGAAGAACAAGAAGTATGCAAAATGGAAGGCTGCCTACATCCATCGATGTCTAAAGAATGGAGAGACTCCCGATACCTGGCCCGATGGCAGAAGAAGGGGAAGAAGGTAGCACTGACAGTACTGTCCAGTCACCCCACCTCATTTCCTGTCAGTTACACAAAACCAAATATTTTCCCATTGACTGCAGTAGTAACTATATATTTTGAAAATTTGCTAAGCCTTCCACAGCTATTACATGTACGTGTGTATCTTAAAGCAACTACCAGAGATCCAGGCTAGAATTGATCTTCAGTAACCCATGCTTGTCGTAAGAGGCGACTAACGGGATTGGGTGAGGCTTGCTGACTTGGTTGACACATGTCATCGTATCCCAATTGAGTAGATCAACAATTCAAGAAAACATGAACAAAGTAAAGTTTAAACTACTACACTACTTACTTCCTACACTTATTGCTGACAACTCAATACCCATGAAGATTCGGATTAAAATTGGTCTTCAACATCCCATGCTTGTGGTAATAAAACACTATTGGATGGCTAGACTTGCTGACTTGGTTGACACATGTCATATTACGGAATGCAGTGTTAAATATCAAACAAACAAATGGACTTGACTGACTGACTGAGTTTGGTTTTATGCCGCTTTTAGCAATATTCCAGCAACATCACTGCGGGGGACACCAGAAATGGGCTTCACACATTGTGCCCATGTGGGGATTCGAACCCAGGTCTTCGGCGTGACGAGCCAACGCCTTAACCATTAGGCTACCCCACCGCCCCTCAAATGGACTGGAACTCATGCTGTCTGTTGTTCTGTGCAGGTCTTGCTGCAGGTGGAGGATCCCCGCAACCTGGGACATCGGGCATGACCTCATCGGGCAACATGGAGAACAGTCTCTACACCCGTCATCGGGCTCCTTTGCCCCACCGACCACTCCCCAGGACCCCCCTCAGAACGCCTATCAACAACCTCCTCAGAATCCATACCAGGCACCCCCTCAGCAGCCAGCACCGGCCCAGTTCAGTCAACCTGTGGTACCCAACACATGGACTCCACCCCCAAACCCAGGTCTGTATCTTGGAAGGAGTACTAGTCAAGGGAGACAACTCTTGTCATCTTGAACTTGTTTGTGGCATGTCAGTTTTCATTTCATGTAAGGGATATCCATCTAGTTACCTTTGCACTATTGTGCACTTGATTAATGAGTAAGGACAAGGATTTATTTTGGGGAGTGGCTGGAGATGACAACATCAGTGATAGTTGAAAGAATTTGTCCTCGACTCGGCCCGTGAAGATCAGGGGTACAAATGGTCTTCAGCACACCATGCTTGTCTCAAGAGGCGACTAACAGGATTGGTTGGTCAGGCTCACTGACTTGGATGTCATCGTATCCCAGTTATATAGATAATGCTCATGATGTCAATCACTGGATTGTCTGGTCCAGACTCGATTATTTACAGACCGCCATCATATAGCTGAAATATTGCTGACTGTTGCGCTAAACTACAAACAAACAGAAAGCCCTGAATTTTGTGACTCTGGTTGTATGCCTGAAATGGTTCAACATAACTTATAAAAATACGGTTTTGCGCACACCAGAAAACTATGGTTGTGAGTTTTGCCGAAGTGAGAAACACCTCCGCCCTGTATCTCTGTATCCTCCTAAATTTAATACCCGTGAAGGTCCGGGTTAGAATATTGGCCTTCAGTAACCCATGCTTGTCGTAAGAGGCAACTAACGGGATCGGGTGGTCAGGCTCGCTGACTTGGTTGACACATATCGTCGGTTCCCAATTGTGCAGATCGATGCTCATGCTGTTGATCACTGGATTGTCAGGTCCAGACTCAATTATTTACAGACCGTCACCATATAGCTGGAATATTGCTGAGTGTGATGTAAAACTAAACTCACTCACTCACCCTGTATCATGCTTGTTTTTCTGTGACAGGCGGTGTACAGCTGACAACAGAACACTTCCAGAAAGCATTGAAGTTGTGCAAGTACGCCAGCAGCGCTCTCCAGTACGAGGACTCTAAAACTGCTGTAGACAACCTACAGAAAGCTTTACAACTTCTGACCACGGGTCACCACAGCTAGTCAGCACGTAAACACTCTTCTACAATATGTGATAATAGGGACTAGCGTCATGTTTCTACTAACAGCTTCTTGTCAGGCCGTAAAGTCATGCAACATTGTATGGGTTCAGGCATACAGGACAGGGTTTCTTGGCAGGTTCTTTGATAAATTATTTGGTTGTCACAAGAGCTGCTTGAGATCAAACTTTTCAGCCAGCATCTAATTGTTACAGCGGACATATCTGCATGAGCTGCACCTTGACAAACATGGCACTTAAATCATCTCATAAACTCAGCTGATCATGTAGTTTACCAGCATCAAACTGTATTTAGAAAGACAATCCTGCTTGCTGTCCTACGGTAAACATTACTATGGTCAGATGAACCTCTAAGCAAAATAGTTCGCTCGTCACGCCGAAGACACATGTTCGATTCCCGACATGGGTGCAATGTGTGAAGCCCATTTCTGCCGTGTTATTGCTGGAATATTGCTAAAAATGGTGTAAAACTAAACTCACTCTCACTAATAAAATAGATCAACTCTTTTGCAAGCATACCACTGTCCCAGAGTTTACATGACCATGATAACCTGAATGTTTACTAAACATTACTGTGTTCAGACGAGACTTTCCATGTGTATAATGTTAAAATTGTTTTATAGAATGGGCCACTAACTCTGTGGGCTTAGCATCTGTTGAACTGTTCAGTGTTTAAGTAATTGTTATGAGGTTTGATGTAAAGTAATACATTACGCTGTATTGAAGACATCTTATACGGGACGGTGAGGTAGCCGAGTGGTTAAAGTGTTCGCTTGTCACACTGAGGACCCAGGTTTGATTCCCCAAATGGGCTCAATGTGGGAAGCCCATTTCTTGTGTCCCTTGCAATGATATTGCTTGAATATTGCTAAAAGCGGTGTACACCTAAACTCACTCACTCATCTTATGCCTTATGTTGATGTCTATGACAAGCGAGTGACTAGCGCCATGGAGTAGTGAACGAACAATTGTCTCCAAATTAAACTTAATAAAGTATTTCGTTAATAATTCTCCAGGCCCTTGTTTTCTTTACACTGTCCTTCGAAAGTAGTGGCATGTTCACAGTGAAGAAAACTAGTTCAAAGTTTGTGTTATAAGACTTGCCTTAGAAATAATGCTTCCTGGATTTCAATAGGAAATCGACATGGAATAGATTTTAAGTGAGCTTGGTGACAAGAACAAGACATGTTCTTGAACTTTTAATGTTAGTGTTGATTGGTTTATTGTGATACAGTGTTGGGTGTAGACATTGGACCGACTGCTTGTTAGAAATGACAGCTTAAGTTATGATCAATGTTCTGAAGTCAGTAAAGGATAAATGTTCACAATAAACACTGGCCGTTTGTTCCTTGGTTTGCGGTAGCCTGCAGTACAGACAGAAGCGTTGTAGTAGATCAGGGCTCGAAATCTCCGCTCGTATTGATGAGTAAAATTTGTTTCGGGCAAGTGAAAAGCGTTTTCTGACCCATAAGTAACATTTTTATTTTGTCCTTGAAGTTCAGCTATCTTAAATGGTGAACGAATTCAATTTTGTCAATGATTTTGTACAGAACACAAAGTAAGTAATGTTTATTGTAGTTTTATTCCAAGCAAACATTTTTAAATAAAATAATTTAAATATATTCATTGTGATGCATGATCTGTAGGGAAAGTACAACTCTAGAAGGACGAGTGGAAAGTTCTTATTACTCGCCATACATGGCGAGTGCAGATTTAAAAATTTTTCGAGCCCTGTACATGTGACTCAGGAGGTCAGCCCCTTTTTGCCGAGTGGTGTAGTACTTGTACATGTTGTATATACATTTGCCTGCAACACTTTACTCAAGTCTGTATACAAACGTTCTTAATCAGGAGTGTTATGATCTTTCATATTTGTGCATATTACTACATAACGTTGTTGACATCTTAAAATATATTAGATATAGGCCAATACCAATGATTTAACTTGTGATATATATTTACCTGTTAACTTCTCAAAGTAATGTTTTCTAGAAGTTAGTGTTTGTTAAGTGCTGTGTTTGAAGTTTGAAATGTGTTAGCATCACATCAATACATAGAAGATTAGTCTCCGTATGACGTGTAATGTGAGATGAACTCTTTAAGTCAGATATGCAAGGGAAGCATCAGAGCCCCATCAAATGAAGGGACTCCCTGTGGTAAGGTGTATTTATTGGCTGCACACTGTGGGTTTCAATCTGAAAGTGACTATGATGCTGTGTGGTCCCATGATCAGAGGCGTACAGGATCCCTTGGGAGTCAGAATAGGTCCCCAGTAATCTGTGCTGTTCCATAATGTTGTGTGTGGCCCCATGATCAGAGGTGTACAGTATCCTTTGGGAGTCAGAATAGGTCCCCAGCAACCTGTGTTGTTCCATGATGTTGTGTGTGTCCCATGATCAGAGGCATACAGGATGCCTTGGGAGTCAGAATAGGTCCCCAGTAATCTGTGCTGTTCCATAATGATCCCATGATCAGAGGTGTACAGTATCCTTTCAGTCAGAATAGTCCCCAGTAATCTGTGTTGTTCCAAAGATGCCTGTCCCAGATAGAGCTGCATTCTCCTTTCCCAAATCAGAATAGGTCCCGCAGCAACCTGTGCTTGTTGAAAGAGGCCTGTCCACAGCTGCATTCTCCATTCAAATTTAGCTGACACACAGCATGTTTCTGAAATACTGTGTTCAGCTGCATATAATCACTAATTATGTGGACCTTGTTAGTAATAATCCAAATGTATATTGACCCTAACTCAAATCAATGCTCAATGCCCTACATTATTAGCTGGCCAGTGAATAATTATGCACTCCATTTTTATTCTCACCTCCCTGCTAAGTGAAAAGCTGCCCCTTGGGCAGTCCAGTTGTTGACTAAACATAAAATTATATAGGAAACTCTATACAGTTCAATAGGCCTTGTACAAACACTGCACACATTGTCGATAACAACTAGCAAGAAACCAGGAAGTATTTCAGTCACTGTACTTTATTACCAAACAGTACCACTGTGAAATAAGTATTCTTGAACTTTGCTATGAGTTAATAAACTTATTTATATTGTCACTAGAAAATAGAAAACTCTTCCAACATAATGTAACAACTGTATAAGCTCAACTCCCAATCACGTTTATGTGTATCTTTGGAGTGTAATCTCTGCAGTTTGTGTTTGAAGCACAACTGAGTATGATTATGCTGCTCTGTCAGCATCACGAGAAGGGCATATGTATTCCCGACACTGATTGTTGATCATTTCTTTATATACACCCTCCAGCAAATACATTTTAAAATTTTGTTCATATGCCACATGCCTTTTCTGATTGTACTTATGTAAACTGATTGTATTGTATAAAGAGGTCCCAATGCCTGAGGTAGTATGTTCAAAACATTGTCCTGGTGCTTGTACATGGTCATTTCCAGAGGAAAACTTATTTCAGAAATTCTCAGTGAAAAATTAGACATTTCGCTAATTGTGATTCAGGCTTGTTGTTCCATCATTTGGTTTGGTTTGCAAAGTGTTCATCAGAAACTAGAAAATATTAATGATAAATGGTAGCCTTTTCACTTGTCATGTGTACTACTGTAAATGGTGTTAGAACAATATCCTGAGTGTCTTTACCCTATTGAAAAACTCTCATGAATGTACTTAATAAAATAAGGTTTGTATACACAAAATGGTTAATTCTGAACATGTGTGGTATTTGTGAAAAAGCAGTTGCAGTAGCAATCCCAGAATATCTCAGTGTTTTCTCAGACATCTGGAGAGCACTGGTGGGCCACCCTTGCGCACACCAGAACCATGCTTGTGGGTTTCTCCAAAGGGATAATAACCTAGACTTGCATCACTTCTGTCTTTCCTAACACCCTATGCTGACATAACAGTGATATAACTTGAATACCATTCGATGTGGCATCTGAAGCCAGCTGGCTTGTAACAGTCCTGTGGTCATCACCTCCCCATGTACAACCTGGTGGATCAAGCGAGAGAGTCCTGGGGCTGATCATCCCCGTGTTCCTCACTCCTTGAATGCCAACCTATCGCATGTTTTCATTAACTTCACAACTTGGGTAAAGTTCACATCCTCTCTTTCTCTCTTGGATAGTCACACTATGGCTGAAACACATGCAAACTCCTGCATATATATACAAACACGTTATATATTCTAAGAGGATAATATGACTGTTAATCTCAACATCAGCCCTGTCACTTAAATTCAACATTGTTTTAATTTCATAACTGTATTGTAGGCATTATGAGCTTACATATAATTGTACATGTAATTAAGTGTAAAGGCACTTGTGAGGAACATGTCCAGGGTCGCGTTGTACAAATCAACCTTAGGACTGAGACTGTCGTAAGTCTATGTTAAGGTATGGGAGTTACGATCACCTTAGCTCAAACGTAGTTTTATACAACAGCACCCTGCATGATAACTGTCAACAATTGTGTACTCATGTGTACGATGATATTTATTCTTACTGTAACTGGCCAGGTGTCTTAGCTTTCTGTGAACTTTCTGGTGTCCCCTGCCGTGATATTGCTGGAATATTGCTAAAACGGCGTAAAACCATACTCAGTCAGTCAGTCAGTTTCTGTGAACTTTGTATATGGATGCTCCATGCATGCTTGGTGGAAGACACTTTTTCAGGTAATAAGCTAAATAGTGTTTATGTTGTTTGGAATTTGTCCCAAAATTGATATGAGTGTGTAGGTTACAATTTGCAACTGAGGCCAGATTGAAGTGCCCCTCTAAAATTCATTTGCTTCATAGAATGGTAAAGAATTGTGATAATAGTTGTGCATATGTGTGTCTGATATTGGCAAATTTTGTAACATTTTATCTCTGATTTGTAAATAAACTTGTTATTAAGAAGGACGTTTTAATTTTCTGGGTGGTGGCTCTTTCTAAATGGGTAGTCACCAGCATTGGCTGAAAAAGTGGTTGAGTGGTACCTAGTTGTGAATAATTAGCTTGCAAGATTTGTTTGTTTGTTGTTTAACACCACAGTCAGGATTATTCCCGCTATAATGTTGTGGTCTGTAAATAATCAAGTCTGGACCAGACAATCCAGTGATCAACATCATGAGCATTGATCTACGCAATTGGGATACGATAACATGCATCATCTTGGTTGGTGAGTCCACCCAATAACATGCATCATCTTGGTTACCAAGAAGGCAGATGTGAGCCTGACCACCCAATCCGTTAGTATTGGGGCTCTTTTACAGGAAAAGCAGAACTGTCATGGGTTACTGAAGACCAATTCTAACCGGGATCTTCTTGAGTCAGCTACCAAGAAGGCAGATGTTGTCATGGTGTGGTACCTGGTTACAAATGGATTAACACTAGGAATGGCCTAGACTGTTATGATATTGGGGCTGGTTACAAGACATTAACCAACAGGAAAAGCAGACACTGTCATGGAGGGGTGCCTGTTTGGGAATAACTAGTTACCAAGAAGGCATGTGTTGTCATGGTGTGTTGCCTGGTTACAACTGGGTAGCTATCAGGAAGGGTCAACTCTGTATGATATTGGGGCTGGTTACAAGACATTAACCAACAGGAAAAGCAGACACTGTCATGGAGTTGTGCTGTTTGGGAATAACTAGTTACCAAGAAGGCAAGTGTTGCCATGGTGTGTTGCCTGGTTACAACTGGGTAGCTATCGGGAAGGGTCAACTCTGTATGATATTGGGGCTGGTTACAAGACATTAACCAACAGGAAAAGCAGACACTGTCATGGAGTTGTGCTGAGGCTGGTAACAAGTAAGATGATGTTGAGGCTGGTTACAAGAAGAAATTAACCACCAGGAAGAGCAGACACTGTCTATGTGTTTTAGGTTCTGTTTTAAATATGTAGCCACCACCAAGTGCGGATACTGACACTGTTTAATGTCAGGCTGTCCTCATACACAGGTAACATGTTAAACATGAGTAGACTACAACACCAACGCGTATGGAAATCTTGTCAGAAAGGTGTCCTCCCAGCCCGCGCTTCTCATTCGTATCCTGCAGTTTCTGTAGAGTGAAATGTCGAGACCATCCTTAAACCTGTGTGTTGTAGGCAGCATGTTGGCAGGCAATCATGGCGTTAACCCATTTCCAAACAGTTTAGGAGACACAGCAATGAGAGAGTAAATCGTGGCGATCTGCGAATTCTGGCAAGAACAGAAACATCTATCGAACAATTTCCGACGCCAAATCGCCAATAGCTAGATAGTATGTATCGCAGGTGTTAGACACACTCAACAGGTGTGTTCCATCCTCCAGTGGACGACTTCAGTATGGCGCTGTTAGATAAAAGTGCCCCGTGGTGGTTCGGACCCTTATGTTCACTGTGCTTGTCGCAAGATGCGACAAAATGAATTGGGTCGGTCTCGATGAACTGACATCGTAACAGGCTGGGATGTTGCTAATGACATGTGTCATTTGTTTTTGGTTTAGACTTGAATACTCACAGCTATTTTGATACAACTGTCAGCGGCGTTAAAGTGTCAATGTACAAAGAGACGTTACTTAAAATGAAAGTATACGTATGCACAATGCCTTTTAGAAAGTGTAAGATGTTACATGGGTTGTATTTAGGATTACAGTTTCACTTTAATCGCCAGCACACACTGACAGCCATCTAACCCATTCAGCCACCACAGATTCCACAAAAAGAGAATGGTGACAATTGTTGGTGTATATCGCGTGCATTGCATACCTACTGATAAGTGTAATGTTGAAATGTTGCTCATGACGTCAGTCACTTGTTTTTGGATTACACTCAAATATTAACATCCCGGGTTAGCCTAGTAGTTAAAGCGTTCGCTTGTCACGCCGAAGACCCGGGTTCATTGGTACAATGTGTGAAGCCCGTTTCTTGTGTTCCTCGCCGTGATATTGTTATTAGCGGCGTAAAACTCACTCACTCACTCACTCACTCACAGGCCGTCTTGAAAGAGCCGACTACAGCGTTAAACTCTTAGCATACAAAGAGACGGTTCTCAAACTGAGGGCGGTGGGGTAGCCTAGTGGTTAAAGCGTTGGCTAATCACGCCGAAGACCCGGGATCGATTCCCCACATGGGCACAATGTGTTAAGCCCATTTCTGGTGTCCCCCGCCGTGATATTGCTGGAATATTGCTAAAAGCGACGTAAAACTAAACTCAGTCAGTATGTATTAAACTGAAAATAGAATACTTTGGTCTGACATAAATATGTATTTTTACTGTATATATGACATGACCCAATCCGTGGTATTTCCATGTCATGTTTAATGACCACTGATGAGATGAACAAGGGAACACCTTCGTGTGTCGCCTGAGTGAGTTAATGAGTTCAAAGTTAGAAATATTCCAGCAATATCACGACGGGGGACAACAGAAAAGGGCTTCACACATTGAAACCATGTTGGGAATCGAACCCGGGTCTTTGGCGTGACGAGCGAACGCCTTTACCACTAGGCTACTGAGCGTGTCTACTGAGTGACCTTCGATATCTAGGTCAGGGCACAAAGGGCCTGTCAGTCGATGTCTACAAATTAAAGCAGTATTGTGTGTAGTGTATTATACACATAACTTGATACTACTAAAACTGTGCTGTATATAGAACTGATTCATCAAACAGAGCGTTGACAGCTATGTCAGTTAGTGACTCGTCTATCTATTCAGTTTGTGATTACAGCTAAATGTTTAGGAAGACGCAATTATCACCCTGTCACTAGTTGAGTTTCCCACTGAGACGCTACAATCCTCCACGTCGTACAACGAGACCTTTGTTAACACACGTAGGTAGTGACCACTTTCATCTTGTGGTTAGTCTGAGTATAGGGATGAGGTGTCCACAAAACAAACTATTCAATAAGAGTTTCTTATATATGAAATCTGATTTTTCATTCCGTAATAAGTGCTGCTTGTAAGAGCTCATACATGAATCAGATGCAATCCAAATTCATTTTATCGTTTTCCGTTTCAGCAAAGAGAACGCAATATCGTGTCACTGCATTTGTTTCATCAAGGTTTTATTGTATCAAGATTGGCGTATCATCCCCAACATATTTCACGAAATGTTCCAAAAATATTTTTTAATCTCGGGAATTTGTAAGGTACCAAAAACGTTTTCGAAACATTTTCGAAAACCTTTGTCTATAATGTTTTAAAATGTTTTTGCAAAATGGTTAGCAAATGTTTTTAAAAAACCGTTTTATTCACGTGAATTTGTATGGTTCCAGAATCGTGTTAACAATGCTTTTGCTAAATATTTTGTTATAAAATTTCAATAATATTTTAAATCGTTGTGAAAACATTTTTATAACGTTACGAAAACATGAAAATGTTTCGAAAATGATTTGTGTTAGCTGGGATGTTGTCCCATCTTTATTCACAGTGTGTGGTGGCTGGTGTGATTAAAGCAGGTCATGATCACCCTTGTCTCGAACACCCGGTTTTCTCACTGGTTTACAATGATTCATTCATATAATGTTTACACCTTTTTTCAATTTTGTCATCACTGATTTTTAGTGATTCATTCATATAATATTTACTACTATTTTGCAGTTTTTGTCATCATCGATTTTCAATGATTCATTCATAGAATATTTACAACTATTTTGCAGTTTTTTTTCATTACTGATTTTCAATGATTCATTCATATAATATTAACAACAATTTTCCATTTTACGCCCAACAGAACCCTTTGATGTTTCATATTAACATTCATTAGGCATATCACAAGCTTCGAACGTTGGTAATGTCTGTTTACGGAAGGTCTGCAACAGTTGAAACGCACCTTTGTA